CGGTTCAGGTAGGGCCGCAACTGGCGCACCAGGCGAACCTGGGCAAATGCCCCCCTGGTCACAGCTGACAAGAGGAGATACCTATACACACCCAAGTTGACCCAAAGCTTCTTGTGTTTGCAAGTACTTCCCCTGAGGCTGACACCAGTGCCAGATGCAGAGGGGGAAAGAGAGGAGACGGAAGACCTGAGTTTCAAGGGTTTTTTTTTAACCAACTGACAACAAGAGTTTCAAGGTTTTTTTTTAACCAACAGACGATGGGGGTTGGATTTCACCAAGAAGACGTAGAACATACTTTGCAGTTTCCATCACGGCAGTTTCCTCCCAGCAAACACATTTGGATCCCAGAACGGGTTTTTCAAGTTGAAGCCCCTCTGGGTCAAGCCATAGTAGTTTTAATGGCCTGGGAAAATCCGCTTGGTTTTATGTCTGATAGGCATTGGGTTAAAAGCAGAAGATTACTGGCCGGACCAGAATTTTCATTCACCTGGCCAACTGCCGGAAAGGGAAGAGCTCAAACTCTTAGAAATGACATGGTCAGTTATCTTATTTTCCGTAATATGGAGTCAGTTGCGAAAAAAGGAGAAGAGGAGGAAGAGTTTGGGGAAACAGCACTTCACACATCGCAACCTCTGGCTTTGACAGCTTTCTACTGGGAGAAAGAGCTTTCCTTTTGACAAAAGGAATGTGTATTTTATGAAAGTTTGGGACTTAGACCACACTTTATTGTGAAGTTGTGTAGGGCTTCTTTCTGGAGACAGAGCAGAAGTACCGTAGGTATAATTGGGGCCCTCAAAATAGTAAATAAAATATGTGGCGTGAGAATCAGAATCATTCTGCGATGTTAAGAATGAACCACTAGTAGTGGCTCCGGTTTTATGAGACATCTCCAATCCATTTATGAAATTCCTGTCACCCAAACAGAGGAGATGAATACAAAGGATTGCTAGATTTCAGCTCCTCAAGTTTTAGCTTCTTCAAGATCCCTTGCAAAGGGATTAAATCTCTGGAAATAAGGGTAGATGTTACACTTCTGAACTTTTGAAGTCCTTGGATCAACTTGGTTAGGTTCTTGGTGAGGTCTGAAATTCTGTAAAGGTCTTAACACCAGACACAGGAGTCCCCTGGTTCCATGACTTTCCTGAAGTAACTGGATATATGACAAAACGAATGAGCAATAATTTGTCAGGAGGAAGGAGAATGAGCAAGGAAACCGATAGAGAATCCGGGAGGGTTCCTTAAAGTCCCCTTAAACCTGAAAAAACCCTGAGCTCTGAATGCTAGCTTTCCTACTGACAAATATTTTCTGAACTTTGATGAAAAGAATGGGTTCTCCCCAGTGGTGGGTTTCAAAAATAGTTCGAACCTACTCTGTGGGTGTGGCCTCCTTTGTGGGAGTGGCTTGCCACCCATGTGACCGGATGGGAGTGGC